ACTGCGAAATTTGGTAATCAAAAATAAAAAACAAAAAATATAAAAGAATTAAAATTCAATTCCTCTTGAATAATTTAGAGGTCTTTCCCCTCCGAAACATGATTGATTTGATTAATTGGTTGGTTGGTTTGTTGATTAATTAAACACGTGGGATAGGGTCTCTTGAAACAAGCGAAAAAGAAACAAATGAGATCTTGGACCCCGTATTAAACACATGAAACGGAAACATGCATGCAATGAATGATTGATTGATTGGTCGGTTGATTGATTGATTAAACACGTTGGATAGGGTCTCTTCGCACAAGCGAAAAAGAAACAAATGAGACCTGGGACACCATATTAAACACATGAGACGGAAACATGCATGCAATGAATGAATGAATGATTGATTGATTGATTATTTAAATACGTTGGATAGGGTCTTGAAACAATCAAAACAAAATTTGACATCTTGGACCCCATATTCAACACGAGACGTAAACATGCATGCAATGATTGACCTATTGATTGTTTGATTGATTGATAGATTAGCTGGTTGGTTGGTATGTTAGTTGATTAAACACATGGCACCGAGCTACTAGGATCATACAAATCACGCAATTGAAAGCCTAGAAACTATATCTAAACACATGGGATTTAGCTTTTGAGAGATCCCTTAACAAGTGGTAAGGTCAAAAGTCAATGTCAACTTACAAAAGCATTAAAACACATCAAACTCTTTAAATAGTGCCAAAAACACATAATTTGCCTCTTTGTACATGACCTTTGACCTTGTGACCTTGGTCAACGCAGTGATATTAAGGCACTTTACAAGAAAAATGCGTAAAATTGCATGTTATATGGAAGTTCATATCATAAGAAAATGGCAAAAAAATCAGGAAAACAGAGATCGTAGAATGAAACATAAAGACCTATATTTAATCTTGCATGGGTTTTTCATATCGAAAGTGAAAGTAGTCACGTGACCCGAGTTGCCAATGAAGGTTGTACATTACATTTTCAACTCAAAAGTCCAGCGTGTTAAAGGAATATTTGAATGTGAAACAAAGTATCAATACCTTCGTTGGAATGTATATTTTCTAAAAAGTGCTATCCAAAGATTGAACTATACTGTCTTACGGTAAAAATTAATGTAAATCCGATGAAAAATGTGACTTTTTAACGAAATCCCCATTTGATACTATGATATTTCAATGATATGAACGCATACCAGTGTTTGGATAGCAGTTTTCTTTTAAAAGAGATATCAGTCGTTTTAAATCATGTCCAATCAAGTAAATCCATCGTCAGTAACACGCTGGACTTTTTAATTCTTTAATCGTGTACCGTTTTATATATTTTACGTTCATTATCAACAAACGCTTTGATGACGTGATCGGCTGTACTCAATAGCGGACAAAACTCCGGAAAAGTATTAATGCCGCGTATTTTAAACTACGGACTTCAAGTAATGTTTTATTTGTATTTACTAATACTGGAGATATAATTGTTCGTTTATTTATTAAATATATATATTTGCAACTTTTATCCTTGTAAGAATAAACAAATAATTTGTTAAAAGACCTTAAAACAACAGTATTTTCCCCAGATTTGCTTTTAGATGTGCATTTTTTTTTTATATTGTTCGTTTACACAAGATAAATTTGTGAGAAAAAAATGTATAAAGGACTCATGAATCCCCTCCTTTGAGTCTCACCTGTGATTGCTGCCATCAGTGTGTGTGTGTGTGTGGGTCATCTGTGTAATGTTGACTTCCAAAATATTATAGCACATCCGAGATTCTCATGACTATTATCAAAATATAAAATTAAAATATTGAAACGTTCTCTACAAATGCTATTTTTTGAACATGAAGAAGCTATAAATGTCCAAGAATCCCAACATTTCATGAAGCACCCCCTTCCCACCATGTATTAAAATGTAAACTGAAAAAACCAAGTCCATTTATCAGTAAAGTTGGGTATTAAAAATAAAAAATTAAATTTTGCTAGATATTATCTCATACATATAAAGAAAAGAGCTAATCTGCCCAATAAAAAGAATAATCTATGAAGGTGGGGGACTATCTTAATGTTAACTGTAAAAAAAAAATTCTTCATTCGTGAAATAGAAAAAGAAATAAAAAATTGGCTGTCGAATTGTCCCAAGTTTCGTAAAAACTCTGTTTGCCGGGATAACAGTTGACCTGCATTCATATATGTGTCTGCATTTTTTAGACAACAAAAATTTCAGCAGACTCACCACTCAAATTCAGTGTGAAAAATTATGTACTTTGGTAAATGTTTGAAGTGGCAGAAATTGGTAATGGAAAAGAGAATATAGGGAAGAATCACAAAACTATGCTAAGCTCTCAGAATATACAAATTGTTTGCTGTACTATATAACACTCCCACAACTGGTTCAGTTGTTTTTTTTTAATTATATTTTCTACTCCACTGATCCAGCAAAATTTACACTGCTCAAGAATGTAAATAACACACTGAAATCATGTGGTCAATATTCAAGTGAAATTGTTCTATGCTGTGCTCCACTACTCTTCCAGGTTAGAGTTTGAGCACTCAAAAATATGTTTAACCTTCCACATTCTTTATGTGCCTGTTCCAAGTCACAAACCCCTATTGCAGTGGTTGTCGTTGGTTAATGTCAGTCTCATGGAATTATATCACATTTACCAGACTGGGGCCTTTTATAGACGATACTACAGTATGGGTTTTCTCATTTTTTACAGTGGCTAAGTATATTTGTTTACATCTACGTCATTTAAACTCTAGTCAATGGCAATGATAAGACTTCTCATTCTTTGCAGTATATGGAGGACAAAACATTAATCTGTTTTGTTACTCAGCTCAAACAGGATAGAAATGAGGCAGGAGAGAATTCAAATTATACCCGTGTTTATGTCTTGTACAAATATCATTTTATTTTATTTTGAGACCATGTATATATATATATAAAATCTACAATGTATATTCAGCAATTATGCACCTTGATCAACTTAACAATCACACCATTGTCCTTAAAATAGATTTTTAGAGATTCTTTCAGTGGCAATCATATCACCTTATTATTTTCATGCCCAACCAATATCAATAAAAAAGTACAAAGTGGATGTACTATAAGCATGAATAATTGGTATGGGATTTGCACACTGTTGAAGGCCGTAGTGAACTGCAGATGTTTTTAAATTTCTGTGTCCTTTTGTCTCTTGTGGAGAGTTGTCTCATTGGCAATGATACCATATTTTCTTATTTTTATAAGGAATGCAGATCATAATATGAGACATGTTTTTTTGTTTCTAGTATTTATATTTTTTATACAACATATACATGAAATACCATTTTACTCCATATAGAAAAGAAAATCCATAGATTTCTATTTCAAAGACCTCCACTCTTGGTAATAAATTTTCTAAATAAAAAAAAAAAAACAAACAAACACTGTTTTTCTGATTCATTGAACATAAACAAATATTAATGCAATTTTTTAAAAATGAAGTAAATATCATTATAACAGATTAATTGGGTCACAATAACTTATGGCCTTATGCTATAAACTAACTATTCATTGAGTAATAAACAACTAAGAATGTCCAGTGTCATCTTAAAATTAAATTGTAGCTAATATGTCTCCTGGTTTAATATATTTTCTGAAAGCTTTAAAGTGTAGCTTTAGTTTGAAACATTTCATAAAAGTTTACATCTGTACTACAAGCATATAGTTGTATTAGTTCTTGATCTTTTTCATTAATTCTGTCTTGAACTTTACAAAAAAAATTTTCTTCTCCAGAGATGTGTCTAATTCTATCTGTCGAGTGACGAAGAAGTGTAACAATATGAAAATTAGGTTACACATAAATCATTGTAATTAGTAACTGGAAATGTACACTCAGGTATTGTGTAAAGCTGAAATAGAAAAAATACAAAAATTACTAATCACATTAACCAAAACAGAACATTATCTCACAAGCAATAAACAGAATGCAAGTACAGCAGTTTTAACATAAAAGTAAAAATCTAGGTAAAAGACAAATAATGTGTCAATAGAGCATCAAAATATAACCCCAAACTGTTCATGCTATGCCCCATTCAAGGAAGAGTATGAGGAAAATCTTTTTACATTATAAAAGGCATAAGAAAATATATTACTGTTGTGCATTTTATCAGGATTCATTTTCTTTCTTTATATTTTCCTCAAATCACAGGAATTTGAACTTTGTCATTTGTTTAAATTTGGCGAAATTATTCATGCTAGGTACCTGTATATGTTTTTTCAACACACACCTGCTGTTTTTAAATTAGAACTTTACTACTTTGCAGGATGTTTATTCTTTAACAATACATATGCAGATCAATAGTTTGTATATAATAAGGATTTTGATGTTCCTTTAATTTTCCACAAGAACTAGTAATTTTCCTAATGCAGTAATGACAAGTCCTGTATATTCATTTGTCCTAGCTATAGCTAGTAAAAAAAAAAAATAAAAAAATAACATACAGAGGCACATTTTTAAAGATGAAAGTATCAGAGCTATAGAACGGCAGAATCAAAATAGTAAATAAGAAAAACATTCTTCATAAATTGTTAATGTGCGAAACATGAAATATTGCTTATTATGTCAAATTTTAGTGTCCCATAACTCTTAAAAGAAATTAGTGGAAATTAATCATGCAAAGCCTAATTCTTTATAATTTGGTAAAATTAAAAGTTAACAAGATTTACTGACTAAGATTGTTTTTCATTTTCTGTCAGTTTACAGACATATTAAAAAGAGCAGGGTGTCAAATAAAACACTCATGCACTGTACTGTAGTGGTGAAACAGGGTATGTCATTCGACCTGAAAAATTCTCAATTCGACCCTGAAAAAGGCAAAATGTTTTTAAAGTCTTCTTCTTTTATTGTCTCTACTAAACAACAAATAAGTATAACATCAAACTTTTTTTACAACCACTTACCCTTGAACAGTTACTGAGTCCAGTTTATGGAAATGAATGCAGAATGAATCTGACTCCTTAGGTACATTTTTTGCAAGACCGCTCAATAATCAGGTTTTCAGATGAATTGAAAAGGGATACAAATCTTTATTCATTCATTACTGTTTCCTAAAATAAAAAAAATGTTATAGATAATTGCAAATAACTGTAAAAAATATTATCCTAAACCAGATTTAAGCATATCTACTAGTATTTATACAACATGTACAAGAACATATATGTGATATATAATCATGTAAATTCAGAAATTATTGCATGCGTTTATTATTGCGACCATCGAAAACAGAAAAAAAGTGCAAGATTAATTATTGCTCTTTCAGGAAAATATGCATATGCCTGTCCCAAGTCAGGAGCCTGTAATTCAGTGGTTATCGTTTGTTTATGTGTTACATATTTGTTTTTCGTTCATTTTTTGTACATAAATTAGGCCGTTAGTTTTCTCGTTTAAATTGTTTTACATTGTCATTTCGGGGCCTTATTTAGCTGACTGTGCGGTATGGGCTTTGCTCATTGTTGAAGGCCGTACGGTGACCTATAGTTGTTAATTTCTGTGTCATTTGGTCTCTTGTGGAGAGTTGTCTCATTGGCAATCATACCACATCTTCTTTTTTATATATACAGTTTATTTAAACATAACTGTTTCCAAGCAACAGAAACAGGATACCAGAGAAGATTAAATATTCCTACTATAGCTTTCTCTTTAGATTATCTGTACACCTGTATTTGTATAGTAAAATGTTCAATAATATTTAATTATAAACTCCTAAATTTGAACCAAATCTATTGATGTGAGCTGATGATTTTTTGTATCACAAACATGCCTTTTCCATAACTTGTAATTATATTTGAACTAGCTTTCAAAATTTGCTAGTACTTTGTGCCTTTTTTTTTTGTACTATGTGTTGATCCGACGATTTAGTCAAGCCTTTTTCACCATCTTTGACCATTGTTTACAGTTTGTTCCTATGTTGTAATGATACACTACTGTTCAAGGTTAGGGAAAAAAAGGGGGGGCCTTCTATAGCTTAATATGTTATTGGTTTTGCTTATTGTTGAAGACAGCACAGAAACCTATATATAGATGCATACATCTACATCATTTGGTCTCTGGTGGATGGTAGTCTCATTTGCAGTCATACCACATCTTCTTATCTTTATGTTAATAGATTTTCTTATGTAACTATTTGTTATATGAATGTAATGCTCCATGTATGCATATAGGTCACTGTACAGCCTGATTTATGTACATGTACAATAACAATAAATGAATAAACAGCTTTGCCATGAGTGCACATGATACGCATGTAGCTATTTTAAAGAATAAATTTCAATAACTTCTTAAATGTCATATCAGAAATTCATGAAAAACTAAAGGGAGGTTATCTTTATAGATATAAACTATTCACCCAAGTTTCATGATAACTGCTCAAAGCATAATTGTCTGAAAACTGGAAAATCACCCCTTTTTTATGAATAAAATCATATAACTCTGAAATGTAAAATCTTAAATATATAAAAAAAAACAAAAGGGAGCTTACGTCAACAGATATAAACAATTCACCAAAGTTTCATTAAAACTGCTGAAAATATTTTTGAGTTATTGTCAGATAACTAAATATCCCCCTTGTTTTAATGAATAAAACCCCATATTAACTCAGAAACATTAAATCTAAAATTTATAAAAATAGAAAGCGAGCTCAAGTCAATCATGTCAATAGATATAAACAATTTACAAAAGTTTCTTGCAAATTGGTGAAAGTGTCTTTGAGTGATTGTCCGAAAACTGGAAAACCACCCTTTTTTTAATGAAAAAAAACCCAAAACATGGAAACTTAAAATTTAAAATTAATTAAAAAAGGAAAGGGAGCTCAGGTCAATAGATATAAACAATTCACCAAAGTTTCATGTGAATTGGTTCAAGTGATTTTGAGTTATTGCCGACATATTGACGACAGACGGACGGACAGACAGACATACATACATACAGACAGACGGACGGACAACGGTATATAATAATACGTCCCCTTAACAGGCATATAAAAAAAAATGATATACAATAAAATGCTCCGCTGGGTGCAGCTTGATACGACCACAGAGGTCGAACCCTGAACAGTTTGGGCAAGAATGGACACAACATTCAAGCTTGATACAGCACTGAATTTGGATTGTGATTAAATATTTGACACAGCATAGGTTTCTGACACAGAATGAATGTAGTCTAAGAACTTAAATTTTTTAATTTACATATTCAAACCATATCATTATTATTTGCTTTTATATATAAATCAGAAATAACCAATTTAAAATGGAAAATCTTAAAGAAAAAAAAAAAAGAAAAAAAAGGAAAAAAAAAAATCCCTCCCCCAAATTTTTTGAACCCCCTTATGATTCATCACCCCCAAACTCAATCCCAGCCTTCCCTTTGTGGTATGGTACCTTGCAGTACAATATCAGAGAGATCCATACACTTGAACACAAGTTATTGTCTGGAAACTAGAAAAATGCTTGTTTTTAGGCCCCTTTTTGGCCCCAAATTCCTAAACGTGTAAGGCAATTACCCCCAAACTCAAACCCAGCTTTCCCTTTGTGATATGGAACCTTGTAGTACAATTTCAGAAAGATCCATACACTTACCCACAAGTTATTGTTATGAAACTAGAAAAATGCTTTTTTTTTGCCCCTTTTTTTGCCCCTAATTCCTAAAATTTTGAGGCAATTACCCCCAAAATCAATCCAAGCACTCCCTTTGTGATATGCAACCTTGTGGTACAATGTCAGAGAGATCCATACACTAACACACAAGTTATGTTTGGAAGTTACAATAAAATGCTTCGCTGAGCGCAGCCTGATATGACCGCAGAGGTCGAACCCTGAACAGTTGGTACAAATTTGGACACAATATTCAAGCTTGATACTGTCTGAATTTGGATTGTGATCAAATTTTTGACATAACATAGATTTCTGACACAAAATAAATGTGGTCAAAGATCTTACAAATCTATTGCGCAATACTGTGCAATTGAAGATTTCTTCTTGAAACTTTTCAAAAATTCAAAATTTGAAAAATTTAAAAAAAATATGAATCCTCTAAAAAAATTTAAACCCCCTCCCCCCCCCCCCGCCCCAACTTTTTGAAACCCCCCTTGGAGCAATAACCCCAAAACTCAATCCCAGCCTTTCCTTTGTAGTATGGAACCTTGTAGTACAATTTCAGAGAGATCCATACACTTAAACACAAATTATTGTCTGGAATCTAGAAAAATGCTTGTTTTTGGCCCATTTTTGGCCCCTAATTCCTACATATTTGGGCAATTAACCCCAAACTCAATCCTAGCCTTCCTTTTGTGATATGGAACCTTGTGGTACAATGTCAGAGAGATCCATTCACTTACACACAAGTTATTGTCTGGAAACTAGAAAAATGCTTGTTTTTGGCCTCTTTTTGGCCCTTAATTCCTAAACTGTTGGCCCATAACCCCTTAAATAAATCCCAACCTTCTACTTGTGGTATTAAACATTGTCGTACAATTTCAGAGCAATCGAAATACTTATACACAAGTTATTATCCTGAAACTAGAAAAATGTTTGTTTTGGGCCCCTTTTTGGCCCCTTATTCCTAAACTATTTGTACCATAATCCCCAAAATCAATCCCAACCTTCCTTTTGTGGTATTGAACCTTCTTAAAAAATTTCATAGAGATCCATTTACTTAAACTAAAGTTATTGTCCGGAAACCAATGTGTCTTCGGACGACGACGACATCATACCATTATACGATCCCAAAAAATTTTTTGCGGTCGTATATAAATGCTTATTTTTGGCCCCTAATTCCTTAACTGTTGGTACCATAACCCCCATAATCAATCCCAACCTTCCCTTTGTGGTATTGAACCTTATGGTAAAATTTCATAGAGATCCTTTCACTAACTAAAGTTAGAGTGCGAAAACCAATGTGTCTTCGGACGACAACGACGACGGACGACGCCAACGTCATACCAATATACGAACAGACGACCACAGGTCGTATAAAAACAAATGATAACCAGTTTTAACAAGGAGCAAAAAGAAAAATGCATCAATTTACCTGTTTAAATAATAAAGCTTTCCTTATTCCAACCATTGCTTTTAATACTTCATCAAAGTGGGACTGGCACTCTGTATCTTGTATTTGACAGGTCAACTAAAAATAAGAGAAAGTAATTATTTAATACATATACAGATCCTTTTTTTTACAGATGTAAATGTACATGTATAAGGACTGCAGGCTATATTTTGAACATTTCTCAGTGGCGGATCCAGAATTTTTCTTAAGTGGGGGCCCACTGACTGCCTAAGAGGGGGCCCGCTCCAGTCATGCTTTAGTGATTCCCTATATAATCAACCAAATTTTTCCCAAAGGGGTCCCCGGGTCCCCTGAAAAACCCTCTAAATCCGCCTCTGTTTCTAATTGATCCCTTTCAAATACTAACTTGTTCATTAAGAATTGGCAGAATCTGATTTCATGGCTGTCATGGTTTAATTTTAGTCACTGCCAACTGGACAAAAAAGTTCTAGATATCTTTTTTTCTCCTGGTGGTCCTTAAGGAAAATCTGCTGGTCCTCACTTTATTTCTATTGCATATAATACCAAACTTGCATCAATCCTTTGAAATTATTGGTAGTCAAAACCTGCGGACAACCACTTTTTGTTTGCAGGTATGAAAAGGGGCATAACTCTAGAACGGTAAATAAATCACAACCGAAAGTCTGTCTGCATGTTGTGGTTCTTAGCATATTGTGTATGAGTTTCATAAAATTTTTCATGAGATATACTAAAGTAATTGCGGAAACTAAAATTTGACAGATAGTCAAGGGTAACACTAAATACCCTTGTTGCCTAGAGCAGGGCATAAAAAACACCCACAGATTTTAGCAATTCATGTGTCCAATGTAATTTGTATGTTTTTAGGGAACAACTTTAACCTTTACTAAGATTATGAAAAACTCCCAAGTACCTATAACATTTATAAAAAAGTACTACCTCAACATGCTCAAATAAAGCAAGCCTACATTGTTTGTATTTTAGCCAAGACTTAACAGGCTGGTACATGTACAGTAGCTCTGCTTCATGATTCAACCAAAATGAAATTTACATTGTACAGTATATATACTCAGCTAAAAAATGATTGTACCTAGATAGAACCTCCCCCCCTCCCCCCCAAAAAAAAAAATATAAAGATGAACGGTTGGTACATGCATATCCAATACTTGTCAAAGTAAAAAATTAAGCTTTCTCGTAATCCTTCCTGTTCATCATAAATCCTGAATTTTAAGGCCCTACTTTTCTAACTCAATATCAGATATTTAGGAATCAGATTTTCAGTAGTTGTCGTTTGTTGATGTGGTTCATAAGTGATTTTCGTTTCTCGTTTTTTATATAGATTAGACTGTTGGTTTATACTGTTTGAATGGTTTTACATTAGTCAATTTTGGGGCCCTTTTTAGCTTGCTGTTCGGTGTGAGTCAAGGCTCCGTGTTGAAGACCGTACTTTGACCTATAATGGTTTACTTTTACAAATTGTGACTTAGATGGAGAGTTGTCCCATTGGCACTCATACCACATCTTCTAATATCTATATAATAGTTGTTTCTTAGAATCTTTACTGTAAATTCTTAAATTATTGTGCATTTGTTATTGTGATTTTTGAAAGAAAGCACAAAAATATGAGGTTAATTTAATATTGCAAATTCTGTGACAGGAAAATCTGCATACAGATACATGTATTATGCTGATACCCGAATGCGAGTTTTTATAATTGTGATACTCATTCAGTCGCAATATTCACATTCATAAAAACCTCGCAATTCTTTCTGAATTTACAGTACTAAACAATTTACTGCCTTGACAATGTTTGCTATGACTGAGGTACATGTATATAGATATCTGATCTGCAAGCATGCAGTGTTATTTTAATTTAAATACTGATGATTATAACCATATCTTAAAAGAACATGTCAAGGTGGGCAGTCATGATTAACAAACTACATAATATATTTATTAGTCCAATTATATATTGTCATGAAAGGCTTCTTTATTTTTTTTGCTGTGATGCCTTCAGAAGGCTTCACAGTAAAAAATCAACAAATCTGTTTTTCAAGAAATCATATTATTATAATACATTTTGTGTAATATTTGGACTATGCATTTAAATTGGTCAATTCATTCAACAAGTATATATATTTGCTATTGGTCATATTGATGACTTTGAGTACATGTGAAAAATACTATTTCTAAGATAATTTATCCAAGGTAGAGGCATTTTTCAGATAAAGGTGCAAGGTCAGGGATTAGCCCAAATAATTATGACATCTAAATTATGAAAGGATTTTATGCTGTGTTTTACTTTCGACGCTTTCAACTTCAAGTAGGAATCTATAAAAAAAAAAAAGGGCGTTGAAAAATACCCAAAGCCTTCAGCAAAAAATATTATAATCTGGACTTGAGACTGGAATTGGGGGATCCCATCATGGTCTGTGGGCTCCAAATTAGGGGCTCATGGTTCATTCGAACAAGGTTATGTGCCCAAGGCTCCCGTGTTCGGTCTCCATGCTTTGGAGTTAGAGATCCCGGCTCCAGCAATGTGGGTACCGGGCTCCGAAGCAACTGTGGAGCCAGTGTTTAAATTTACCAGACAGGTTGCCTACAAAACGTAAATTAGGAACGAATTACAGGGCGAGTGTTGAGAATGGGATCTTGACAAGATGCAGAAAACTTATTTCATTCGATATTCTGTTCATTTACTGACTAGATTCTATAAATTATTCTAATTTCATATATTTTTTGCAGTCTACTTTCGTTTTGACCACGTGTATATCATACTTGCTAACACTGAACTCGTTTTTTTCTTATACTGTGCCATTTTTCGCCATCTGAAAGGAATGATCAACAAAAGAAACAATGTATGTTTCATAAATTTTACAAATTTCGTGTCTTAAACTTACTTTTCTTGTTAGATTTTCACGTAGAAGTGAAAATATTTTCCGCAGCAAGGTGCTTTCCATTCTGCAAACCACAAACATCTTTCCGACGGCGATCGTCTTCTGATTGGTTGATCCTCAAAAGGAGGCGTGTCCCGCAAGCGGACAATCTCCGCAAGAAAAACAGCTATTGTAACCGTTTACAATATAATTAAGGCACAAACATACAATATTCGCGTTTCAGTAAATAAATTAAATCATACTGATACCCGTTTTTAATTCAAATGCATGTATGTAATTTGTTATCATACATTTTTATCGATAGACGCAGCTTTCCGGCTCATCGCCATTAATGAATATATGAATATTAAATGAGGTCTTTGCGGAGTTACCTCCCCCTGGCCAAATCTAATCGAAATTGCCTTAACATCACTGCGAAGGTCATTAGTCCACAATGTCATTGCAAAAGACCCTATGGGTCTAGGACCTTTTGTTTAAGAGTTTTGCCTAATAATGTCTTTTTACAAACAATCAATGGGGGTTATGTCCCTTACACAATGGTAAAACCAATACAGTCTTAAACCCCCAAGGGTGACTGGGGAATGAAGTATGGTCACCATTGGTCTTCCTCCGACCGGCAGTAAAACCCTTGCCAAAGTGGGGCGTCCGTTTGGCTGTGCGGGATGTACAAATTTGCAGCCACGTCCGGTCAGAATGGGAACGTTAAATCCGATGCCTCGTGTGAAGAGAGTGCCACGTTCTTTGCACGTAAAGAACCCATGCAACAACTCTTTGAGGGGTCGGTAGGTGACCTGTTGCAAGGCTAAATTTCTGTCCCTATCAAATATACCCTCATTTCCCGTGGCAGTCTAAATTTCTCCGACCTTAATCCCTTAATCTATTGCAGAACCTACCTATTGTATTTATTGTGAACTTGTTCTCGTCCTGAATATGCATGAAATATTTGCCACTGGACGTTAAGCAACCAACAACAATCAATCAATACAGTCATAATATAACAAAGTTGCACCTTGAAGTACCAAACTGAGAATTATAGGGAAATCAAAGAAATGTCAAAATCTAAAATATGACCTTGACCTTCGACCTATAAGTTCTGGTCCAATGATCTCAAATCAAAAGACCCTAGGTCTTTACAACTTACGATTCATGAGATTCCTATGCATACCGAAAAGTAAAATATTCAAGGGGAAATAACTCCTATAAGAAGTCACTGGATCGCTTCGGTTTAAATTGTTCAAAGTTGCGACATGTGACATTGAACGTTTACAAAAACCATTTGCCGCTAACTCTTGTAGTTTATGAAGAGTAGCAATAACAATGCTGTTTGTAATTGGGGAGATTACTCCTATAAGGTAAATAGTACACTTTGGTTCTAATACAAGATAGATGTTATTAACCCGATACCTGGTACCAAACATCATTTGGATCTGTCGCGTACTTTTTTTTTACTTTTGACTTTGAAATCGGACGAGGAAAAAAATTAATAATACAGTAAGGTAAGGAAAGACCTTAATTAGAATAAAAGGTTTCTTTTTCTTCGCTTAATTATGCAGTAAAAAAAAAGTATTATGTCAAAATGTATATGAAAACAGAAAACATTTTTCAACTAGTAAAACAATTGAAAGGTCTTTCCTGTAAAAGTGATGTTTTCGTAATGTACTTTTTACGACCTTTCATTTGATATACGACAAGCTTACCTTCTGAAACTTTTCGCTTTTTACACTTAATGATCCCTTCCACCGAATTTTCGAGATCGGAAGTTTGATATATGTAATGTATACTTGATGATCATTCATTTGATATGCGACAACGCCATGTTCTATAAAGTTTGAATTTTGCACTTAATAACCCCATCCAACTAATTTTTGGAGAACTGGAATTTGATATTTGAAATGTACACGTTATGACCTTTCATTTGATATACAACAACCTTATCTTAAAAGAAAATTTATGATTTGCACTCAATGACTCAACCCAACCCATTTATTTGGGGACGTCAATTAGATATTTGAATTGTACGCTGTATGAACTTTCATTTGATATGTGACAACCTAACCATCTGAGAAGTTTGAATTTTTTGCACTAAATGACCCCATCCTTCCCATTGGGATGAAAAAGGGGTTTGAAATATTCATTTTTGAGTAGAGTTAATTTAGACGTTAAAATTTTATTTACACAATGACCGCATTTGGCAAAGTGCCAAAAATGATGCAATATCAATTATATAAATAGAACTTATGAAACTTACAAAGTCAATGTAAAAGATGAAAATTTCAAATTGATTTTTCTGGGAGGTTTTTCATTGAATGTTTTTGGTAATTAGTCAAACACTTCAATTTCTCATGAATTAATCCTAGATGTGGGAAATGATTGTTGTTTCAGAAAATAATATAGAGAGTCAAATTGCAATCATTTTTATGTTTATACTTAAAAATGTAATTTTTGTAGAACAATCAGCGAATCTGAGATTGTTTCATCTGGCAGTGAGTGGGTGCCTGATCAAGATGCAGATGGCGAAAATTCTTCAGAATCCTCAACTGAACATCCTATGAAATAAGCACAACGACCAGTAACTACAGAATGGCACGTATCGATAAATGGCTGGAGGACAGTAACAAACATAATGTATCATTGATTGATAATGAATCCATTATTCCACCATCAGAAAGGTCACCAGTAAAAATAAGACTACCATTTTCTTCTTGTCGTCAAGTTAAAAGGCGCTGTATTGAAAAAAAACACCAAACAACAGAATGAAAAGGAAAACGGTTCAGCTAAGCGTCAGTGCCATGTTTGTGGAAAAACACTCAAAAATTTGCAAAGACATTTAAAGGAACAACACGGGGAACACTATGAAATAGGACACAGAGCGGTTAGTAGCCGGGGATACATTGTGAGATATTGTCCCTTATGTGACAACCAATACGATAGACTTCGAGATCACCTGACAAGGAAGCACAACATTAAAGATAAAAAATTGCTAAAATCGTTACAGGATGATGCTGAGCCTGTGCCTAGAGAGAAATACAGACCTCGTCTTAAGGTAAAACTATAAAAATGTGTTGTAGTATATAAGTCAAATGAATGCTATAGTTCAATGCTTATCCGGTATGCACTTTTGTATAAAGCGTTATATATCGGATAGGAATAGTCAATATATTGCTCTTATACGCCTTATTATATCACCTAAACATTCCAATGACATCTTGAAACTTAAGTTTGTCAAATTTAAGGTTCAGCAATAACATTCGGTTTCTGTGATGAAATTAAGTCTTTATTACGAAGTCTATTTCTCTCATTCTTTCTGTATAAGGTTTTGTATAATTGTCTTTAAAATGATCTTACATAAAACATGTCTTATTAGTAACTTATAGAACGAAATACGTGTCATATTTATTGTTATTTGGACACATATTACCGCAGCTATTAACAGTTTTTCGCTGTTCTATGCGATTGGACGGCGTTAAAAACTTACCCAACTGTAGTAATGTTTGTTTAAATAGCGGTAAACTTTTAAGAGTCAAGTCACAAATGATATGAAAAGTTGAATGCATATGTAATTTATTGATTAAATGAGTTTGGGGTTAACTTATGTAACTTATAATATTTTGATTATTGTCATTCTTGTTTCAGATACCTCAAATAACCGAGCCACATAATTGTAACTTTGAAGAATAACTTGTAAGTTTAAGCAAAATACAGATCACATCCATTTTCTTTGACTTCATGAAATATCAAAAGTTTAACTACTAAGATATCAGATTGATATAAAAAATAAATATATGTATTAAATGTAGCTATGTTTCCCGACAAGTAGTCAAGAGTAAAAACCCAATCAAAACAGTTATTATTATTATTGTATAAGTAATAGTATCATTATTATTGTATAAGTAATATTATTATTATTATTGTATAAGTAATATTATTATTATTATTGTATAAGTAATAGTATCATTATTATTGTATAAGTAATATTATCATTATTATTGTATAAGGAATATTATTATTATTATTGTATAAGTAATAGTATTATTATTATTGTATAAGGAATATTATTATTATTATTGTATAAGTAATAGTATTATTATTATTGTATAAGTAATAGTATCATTATTATTGTATAAGTAATATTATCATTAGTATTGTAAAAGTAATATTATCATTATTATTGTATAAGTAATATTATTATTATCATTTAAAAAAGTTTGAAAGAGAAAAATTGCACCTCATAATGTATACAATGCAACGACCTTATTGGAGAGATTCAAATTTCAGGAGACCCAAAAAGATGAAGCTAATTATGAAACGGATTATCATTGTGACATTGCAACTGGATCCACCTTGAAACAACAAGTTAAGGCGCTGCCCTTAGATAAACCAGTAAGTAAAATGTCTTATCTTTATAAGAACTAATACAATCCTCGTCTTAATAAACACAGAATAATAATGGTAAACCTATGTATGTGTGTAATGTATGTATGTATGTATTATGTATGTATGTATGTATGTATGCACACACACATGCATACATACATGCATACATACATAGACGGCGTTGAAAACTTACCCAACTGTAGTAATGTTTGTTAAAAATAGCGGTAATCATGTCTTGTTGGTACGTATTTTTTTAATTTATTTTTCCCCTTGTGTGGGGGGGGGGGGGGGGGGGGCAATCACCTCTTTCTTCTGCATCTGCCCACTCTCTCATTGGACTGGCTGCCCCCTTCTCACTGTGGTTGCCCTCATCTCCATCACCTCCTGAAAAACGGGGCAGTCCCTCTTGTTTGCCTGGTACTAGCATCTTTCTTTCAGTAGACCTATCTGCAAAACATAAAACTCCGTTTACAGATAAACTAAAAGTACAAAATAAAAATGCGGCTTTCAGAAAAAGGATTACTAAACTTTTCCTTGGAACCCATAAATTCCCTAACTGTATATCCCCTCCCACAGTCAATTTACACTCTATTGGACCCCTTTTTCCAGGCTGACCTCCTCAGCCCGGGCTGGTCTTCCCTAGGTGGCATAGGGGCTGTGATATCGACTTTTCCCTTACAAACATACTAATGGTTCTCCAACTCCTCTGCTTCCCAGATAAAGATTCCAACATATCGGCCATGAAACCATTCGCTGCACCAGTCACAGGAAATCATAAACTTAAGTTTTAGGTGGAAACACAGTTGAACACAACCACTAACCAATTTTGATTCCGTGTTGAATATGGTTTTCACCCTGAATTCAAGGTAAGTTATTGGTTTAAACAATGTTGAAGCAACCATTATTCAATATTGATTCAAAG